GCCATAGAAAGGAGTACTCTGAGTGATTTATCATTATACTTGATCAATACCTATCATATACATATCTTATCTTATGACTTACCCCTGTTATGAGTAGAATATTGGTTATGGTTTATTTCTCCATCAATAGTATAAGTTATCAGCATATGTTCATGCTAGACCTTTCTTGTGGTAAAATATAAATAACGATACCTAAAATACTTCCGGATGAAATGCTACAATGGTATATTATCTGTGCGCTTGCAGATCCCTTTTTCATTCATATTTATATATTCTTTCTAGTCACAACAACAACAACAACAACAACAACAACAACAACAACAACAACAACAAAGCCTTTAAGTCCCAAACTCTTTCTAGTCACATGAAAGGATAAAGAACTATTTAGTATCATTCTAGTAGTGATGCTAGGTAGTACCAACAAGCATCTCTGGCACCATCATTAGGGATGACAACCTAGTAAAGTAATACTAAGAGATATATGTATATAATAGGTGGCTACTAAAACAAGTGACGAGTTAATAAATACCAACACCATTCAATGAAATTGCAAAGCCTAAATTATATTTAAAGAGAGATGTCACATATTGTAATTAAAAATGAGGAAGGAAAGTTAGAGTTAGATAAAACCTTAAAGTCCATGTGCTCAATATCGCTCACCAGCCATAGTAGTACTTTGGATGCTCATGCTAATTTAGAACTTTGAACTGGTTGGACTTCCATGTTAACATTGTTGTTCAATAAAAGTGAGATTGGTGAGGAGGAGATATCTGCTGCAATGCACTGGATAGATAGGATATGTCACATTTTGTGGCCCGTTTATGCATGCGGTTGATTGGGCAAGTTCATAGAGAGAACAACATGATAGACATTTGTGGCTTCTCATATAACAACATGGTAAATATTTGGCTTTCCATGCATGGGTACGGATAAATAAAATCGACGATATGACTTAATAATTAAATGTTGTAGGTCAGATTTGACTGGATCAATAAATGTTGCTAGTTAGCCTTTTTAGAGATTTAACCACACAGATGGATAATGTCGACTAGTCATTTGAGTAATTGGCATGTATAAATGAACGCTATAACTTAGCCTTTTCAACAATTAAAGATTCTATTGCTATTTACTATTAAAGCAGACTACATGAAATAGACACATACTAGGGACTTAGGATTTGCAGAAAGATGAAACACTTGTACAAGATCATAATGTCACAAGCGTTGGCATCATCCAACTACCACAAGAGAGGCCCTAGCGATACTAGCATCTTGAAAACTCTAATAAATACTGCAAGGAAAATTGTTATGACCCTTCCGCATACTACCGAGGCACCCCGTATGGTGGTCGACGAGGAGAGGACATCTTCCCATGATACAAGCCACCTATTGGTAATTGGAGAGCCCAAATAGGAATGACATGTAAATGAACCAGGTTGATGGACACCACCTATTGGCAATCTAGATGCCAATAGGTTCCTATCGACTGTTGAGCTGCCGATAAAGACTATATCTTTTTTTCAAGTGGCGATTTTCCTATAACAATACCTATATCTCTAATTATTTATTAAAGTAATATTAAAACATAAAAAGCCTAAAAATGAAGAAGAGCAACAAGAAACATAAAAAGAAGGCAAGAAGGTGTTGGAATATGCTAACTTAGAGTTAAGGGAAACATGAACTTATATCAAATGACAAGCGATATGACTTATAGTTAGCTAGCATAGTGCCCATGCTAACGCAACGGCGGCATTTCAGGAATACACATGAAAATTGAATGAGCGATAGAAATACAATATTATTATATAAAAAAAAATTGAATGTACACAATCAAGTATAAACTCACAGCATCCCCAGACCAAGTTTTCAGAAAAATATATTATCATATAAAAATCTGAATATATATAGTGTAAGTCTCTAACGGACGGGGGAAGCTTTCCATACCAATCTCTTCAGCTTTCTGAAGCTTTTCATTAATCATGTCTTGAGAACGAAGCTCTGTTCTTGCTAAAAGCATCAAGCAAGAGAGTAGCCTGCAGCAAAAAAGGAAAAAAAATACCACATCAAAACTTAAACATTTACTTCTATCTTTTTCTCCTTGATATGTTTTGACAACTGCAATATGGCATCCATCTGTGAACATTGACAATATAATCAAAACTGGACTTAATTGATGGCCCCGTTCGGCTTACATTATAATCCGGCTTATTCGGCTTCTTTTTTTAGCCGAAATAGTATTTTTCTCTCACAATAATTTAGCCGGAACAGTGTTTTTCAGCCAATTTCAGCCAAGCGAACGGAGCCATATATACAATGCACAGGCTGTAGAGAAAAAAAAAGAGGATTTGAGATTGGGAAACTTAACTGTGAGACTAAAAATTGGTGTCATCCATGACTATGCCCCTGATCCAAACCACTTAAGTCCACACACCTCATGATTGTGCCCCTCGTATGTCTGCACAACATGGTTCCTAATTCTCACGTCGTTGCTCACGATCTTGCCATCGATGCCGCCAGTGGTGAGGATGTTGTTGTTTCATGTCAGTGAGCCAACTCTTGCCTCATGCACACCTTTGAGAGTTCTCAACTGCAGGGAAAGAACGACCTGAATTTAACAACAGAGAACGTGCACGTATTTTTGGATAACCAAGGACACTGCACATACCAGTCAGTTGGAGCTGGTGTCCCAGAGCTGGACATTAGATGAGTTGAGCCCAACAGCGATATGCTGGCCATCTGGAGCCCAGTTGACGCTTGTGATGGGACCGTTGTTATCGTCGATGATCAGAAGCTCAGATGTGGACCCACTGGATGCAACCCACAGGTTTACCGTGTCACCTAGAGCAATGGACAGCAAGTTGTTGCTCCCTCAGTCGAGCAGGTTGAGGTATTAGTCGTCATCAACGAGCTCTGGTGCGTCTAGAGTCCTCTCTGAAGATCGCATACATTTCGAGCAACACCAGAAATCGCCATCCAAGTGATGAACATGAAGAATTCAGTAAATGCATATATCTGGGGAATATGTCACCGCTGCTTGGCCGGCTTGGTGTGGTGGGAGGAAGCTGCAACGGTTGCCGAGACGTTCTCAGGCTCATACGTCTCGTTCCTAAAGGCGAGGATACATGTCCGGTTGTTGAGCAACTTCTCAGCGAGCAGCCTCCGGTAGGTCTCCTTGGATGGTGACACGGCCTCCCGTAGGTCTCCTCGATGGTGACACAATCCGGCTCTGTCAGGCGAATCATCGAACACCCGCGCGCGCCCACAAAACATTCTGACTCAGGGAGCAGTGACTTACGTAGCACTTGGCTGACGGGTTGCGCGATCCCTCGAGCGCGCGGAGGTGGAGTCACAGAGCGGCGACTTCGGCGAGGAGGGCCTCGCGCTCGGCGCGCCAGCGCGACTCTTCGCGGAGCCACTGTTGTTCCTCCCGTAGCCAGCGCTGCTCCTCGCGGCACTGCGCCTCCTCGCTGTCATTCTAGGACGAGGGGCCCGTGGCGCGGGCAGGACCGACGTAACCCAGGCGAACCGCGTCCCACTTCACGCCGCCCGCCGCCACCGCGTGTACCTTGATGGGCTCGGCCACTCCCGTACGCTCCAGCCCCCCGCCGCGTCCGCCACGCGCCACCGGAATCAGAGATGGTCATGTGGTGGCACGCCCGCTCAGCGACCGCGAGCGCGAGCGCGTCGCGCGATGGTGTTCCGGCCGCTTGGAGACCGCGAGCTTGATCGGGATCGCTGCGGGGCCTGGAGAAGGGCAGCGCCGGCGACCAGGCGGGATCGCGGCGAGGCCTGGAGGAGGGCAGTAACGCGGTTCGTCGTTTTTTAGCCTCTACTCTAGGTACAGCTGTAGGATCTGTTCATGCACGAACACACACTCACACACACCACACACACCACGCGTACACAACCAGATCTACAACTACACGCAGATAGGAAGACCGCGTCCTTCTTGAGATCACCGGAACCATCCATGGCTCCGTAGGCGACGGGTGCGTCGCAATCTCTTTGTGGTTCCACGCGATAGAGGATGTAGATTTTTTTGGAATAAATCCCGGTGAGAGACATGAGTCGAATCCAGGATTCGAACTCACGCCGGCAGCGAGCACACCTGGCTCAGCTAGCCACCCGAACCAAGTTCGGTTCTCACGTGGTTCGTCGTTGCGCGATGGTAGTCCGGTCGCTCGGCGAGCACGATCTGGGGCGGGGCGGCCGCTCCGCGATGCCGCTCAGCGACCGCCGCGAAGAAGGAAATATTTTTTAAGGAAGCTTTTTTTCCCCTTTATTTGGGGATTCAATCTTGGGTTGTTAGTTGTGGACGCCGTGTAGGGGGCGTGGGGTAGGACACAGGGGTGAGAAGTCTAGCATCACACATCGAATCGTGGCCATTGAACTTATTTATGCGTTTTATTAGCCTTTGATTTTAATAGAGACGAATTCTTGTGTGCATTTTTCTGGGTGCACAATGGTTAGAGGTTCTCAGCGGGAGACGTTTTTCTGGGAGACCTAGTATAACTTTGATTGGTCAATTATAGTAGAGATTAAATGAAACAAATGCAAATATTTTTTTTAAAAAATTATGCAAAGACAGTTAAAAAACACGGAACAAAAGCTGTAAGAAACGTAAAAGGGTGTAACGGAGGGAGAAACTAAAACAGAGGTAAGAGGAAAAAGGTGTAAGAAAGAGAGAGAGGAAAGCTCTCGTTCCTAGCTTCCTCTCTGCAACCAAGCGAGCGAATCCAACCCAGCCCATCCATTTCTCCCTCCCTTCCCCATTCCCCGATTCCAATCCTTCCTCCACAGCCCCACCCTCCTCCCTCCGCCTCCGCCACCGCCTCCACATCCACCACCCTCCAATCCGCGCGGGCGCCTCGCCACCCTATCCCGATTGCTACCTCCTCGTGGTGGGCGCCGCTCCGATCCGCCCGATCCGCGCTGCTCCTGGGGTTCCTGCGCGCGGCGGCGAGCGGCGGGGGCGGCGCAGGAATGGAATCCGAGGACGACATGCACGACGCGAACGACTCCGCCGAAGACGACTTCTACAGCGGCGGGGAGGCCGGTCTCGCCGCCAGCGACGACGGAGACGCCGACTACGACTTCGCGGACCACGACTCCGACGACTCCACGGAGCTTCTCTCCCACAGACAGCAGGTGATCTCCTTCTCCAGGCCGTGGGTGGTGCGTGGCGTGTGTGAGAGTGGATCTGCTTCTGTACGGTGAATACCGGAATTGAAGGGTTGTGAATCTAGGCGGTGGTTGATTGGACGTCTGTTAGGCGTTGTTCATGTAGAATACTGCCTCTGTAGTTTATTAGCACAGACTGGGACGTGACTTGCTGGCTCGAGAGAATGGTCTTTGCATTTATCCCCTATACAAATATATGGTGGTGATGCTAGTTAAGGCATACCCGAATCAACTGCAAAATGTGTTGCTGAGTAATGCTGTTGATGCATACAATACATGTCAGGCACTAGGCAGCCACATTGTGATAGACACTTAAATACTTTCCGTGAAAACTATGTAGAACAAATGATGATAGCCACATTTGCTTTTGCGCAATATCAATTTGGAGGGAGTAGTAATGCTAAGCTTTATCCTTTGGCATGTGGCTAGTCATGACACTATAAAAGAAGCCAAGTTCCATCCTGCTTGATGAATGCCAAAATGTGGGGTATGTGAGCTGCCAATGCTATGCAGTCTGCGTCTTTGTGACATGTAGTGCATGAGAAAGTTTGTACTTTTGGATGCCATATGAACAGTGAGAGAAATTTTTGCCATACTTTGGTGACCAAATTCGTGCAAATTTCTAGCATTTGGAACTGGAGATTGCGGTACAATTTAATGATCAGCTGTAACACAAAGAACAGAATTGGGTGCAGTTGCTTCTAGTTTTGAAATGAATGGACAGATAAAAGTGATGATGGCACAGTAAATCTCATTCCATCTGTTTCTTTGTTTTCATTATGTTCTAGGTTTGCATCTCGTTCTGCCTAATATGTACACGTGCATGCTATTTGTAGTTGGTACATCATCAATTGGATTGGGTGGGTGGGTGGGGGGCGTGTGGCAGGGCTGATGGAATAGCATTTGGGACCAGGGAGTCCAATCTCGAGATTGTTCGTAGACCAGTGCCCCCCAAAAACTGCCAAGTTGGATACCTGGATCCTTTAATCCAAGCCGTATTGTTATATCTGTGTCCGTGTCCAAGTGCCATTCTTGTGTCCAAAAACTTGTTGAATCAGACACAAATCTTAAGCATAAGCTGAATTTATGACACCCATGTCCACATCCAACTAGCACTGGTCCAGCATCCTTGTTCTTTACAACTTCATTTGGACAACATTCTTTTATGGTAAATTACAAACTAACCTGGATGTGGGTGGACACAGCAGATAAGTATTTATTTTGTTCAGATACATTTATATACAATGTTCATGTTTCTTGCATATTTGTGTCCTGTTCTGAACTTTCATTTACTTAGCTACAGATAACCAAAAACATGATAGATAAGGTATTTATGAGTGCTTGAGATCGACATTGAGTTAGTTATTACTTCTTTGTGTCAGGATGAGGGTTTCATTGTCATCAAGATTCTTTTAACAGGCAGAATTCTAAACTTGATTAGCTTCTATGCCTTATACTTGTTTCCGTGTCTCCTTCCTTCCCAACACTATTAGACTATCACTTCCTATCAATCTCAATTTACTTGGAGGACACTTTGGAATAAAATATTGTAGTTCAAGAAGCTGCTATTCATTAATGTTTAACTCTGTCCTGGCAATTATGAGAACATAATGAAACTGCCATGCTTTTTTTGTTAATATAATAATGCCCAGCTCTCCTGCGTGTTCAAGAAAATAAAACATGTTGAAACTGAAATAACTATATACCCTCATGGACTGCTGTTCTTACACTTGTTTGCTTATTTGTGCCCCAGCAAAATTACAGTATATTGAGTGAAGTTGATATAAAGCGGCGCCAAGAGGATGACATAAATAGGGTTTCAACTGTTCTTTCAATTTCCAAACCAGAAGCATGTGTTCTTCTCCGCAACTATAACTGGTATAGTCCTTACCTGCAAGAAGATTGTAATCTTACTCTTGTAGCTTGCTTCTTGTGCTGCCTTGCTAAATATTTTTAGACAATAGGCTATCAAAATTGGAGCTCTTGCAAGTAAAGCTTAAGGGTTTATCTACAGCTTATGCATTAGGCTCATGTTCATTTGCTTAAGTCATACTGCTGTAGCCCATTTAGTGCGCTCTACTTGTATAAAATCAATTATTTCTTCTAAGGGTGGTACTTCATTGTTTTTTCGTGTATCGATTCAGGGCACATGGTGCTTATCTGTCATTTTGTGTGTTGTTAATTTCAGTGTCTTACTCTAATATTCACCCTACAGGAGTGTTAGTAAGGTGCATGACGAATGGTTTGCTGATGAAGAGCGTGTTCGGAAGGTTGTTGGTTTACCAGAGAAGCATATTGAAATGCCAAATGACAGAGAAGTATTCCCATGCTTCATTAGTTTCACTTGTTCTTCCAGTTGCCTAAGCATGTTTGCTCTCTCTGATTAGTATAGTTATTCTTGGCACTGTTAGTTTTAATCTTGTTGCAAGCATGCACACTAGTGTATCTACAGAACTGAGACATCATGTAGAAGTGCACATTTAGTTTAATAGCTTGCATGTAGCTAGATATCTTTTGAATTAATGGACCACTTCGGCCTCCGGGTTGCTTTTGTGTGTGTTTTGTGTGTGCACGTCCGCATGATCTCTCATATCTTTGCAGCTAGTGGTGCTTATCTTGGTGTACTATGTACTCCCTGTGTAGTCTTTGTATTGTGTGTGCGTTCTTGTGTTAGTTGTGTTCATGGGAAGTACTAGGGAGCCCTCATTACCAACAGTTTTGTATTTTTTTTAACCTTTTACCTATGAAATGTTGGTTAATTATTTGCTCCTCGTATTTCTGCAGTTACTGATAGATCAAATTATAGTTGAGATTTAGTCCTATAGATAGAATCCCAGCTCCTAATTTGAATCTATAGTCCTAGTACTAAATAAAAGCTGTAGGGATCTGCTGGAGATGAATACAGTATTATTATCCTCAAACTTGTAAGTTTCTTTCAATATCCTCACCCGCACTTGTAGGATGGGTATTGGATGATTGGAAAAAAGTGTCTGTGTATGTATAGTACATTAATACTATAGTGCATAAAATACAGACACATGTATTGTATTTGTAGACTTGTAGTCACTCATATTATTTGATCCATGTGTATTTTTTTAGCGGACAATCATTAAATTTAGCAACAATTTATGTCAGTATGCATAACAACCAACTCCTGTTGTTGGGAAAAAAGTGTTTGCTATGCTTGTGTGGTTGGAGGTTTGTGTAGCACATGCATTAGCAGAGTTTCGTGCATGTTATGCATCATGTGCATCTGCCCTTTACTTGCTTATTACCACTGGTTTCTACTGAACGTTGTTTGGGAACGTTAATACTCCTGAATAGTCCAATGCTTAAATCCTTTGTGCTTACACATTTGTTTATATCATAATAGGTAACATGTGGAATATGTTTCGAAAGTTGCCCTCGTGGGTCCATGAGTGCTGCTGCATGTGGTCATCCTTTCTGCGGTACATGTTGGAGAGGTTTGTCAATTGGGGCTTGAAATATTTATCTGCATACAAAGGGACCTTGGATTCCTATTTTCATGAAATCAGTTCCACTTCTTCATATTCTATGAAGCAATAGGTCCATAGCAACCACGCCTTCGGCCTTATATTTAGGCTGGTACTAATTATAGTTAGTGATTCCATATTTAGTTCATATATTTTGTTCTGCTACTACAGTTCTCGTTGGCATTGTCATTTCTGCTTCGCTTTTGCAAATACCTTTATAATTGACGTCATGGTTACTTAAAAAGCTTGCTCAAACAAGAAAGTGACATCAAGCTATTGTCTTCAGTTAAATCTTCATTATACCACCCAAAGTTATTACCTGTTGTTTTAATAAATTTGTTGAGTTCACTAGGTTCCAGTACTTAACCATTTTCACTGTCATATGTTTTCTGTCTAGTTGAGAGGTTAATCCCTTATATTACTGTCTGACCTTGGTGTTAGGTTTATTTCATTGCCTATTAATGTGCTGCATGCCTGCACTTTCCCCTTACATGCCCATAGTGCATGTGAAGGGGAAAATTGGCTATGTACCATTAAAAGATGTCAAGTTTAGCTATGTACCATTAAAAGATTTCTTCTTTGCTATTTAGCACCGAAAGATCACAAAGTTATTGGTTTCTACCACTTCCGTTAACTTCGCTAACGTTCCCGTTGTCTCTCCGTTCAAGTCATCTTCTTCGAAACATTTCCCTCTCCAAGTCATCTCCGTCTCCCTCGGACCCTGGACGTGGAGCGAGGCTGCCTCGCCGACGACCCAGCCCCACCTGCACCACTGCCACCCACGCCGGGCACGGAGCCCCACGACCTCTGATCCCTCTCTCTCTTCCTCTCCATCTCTCTCCTGCTTTTCCCCACCAGGAGCAGCACCGCCATCCATGATGGCCACTCGGCCTTGACCGAGCGGCCTCGGTCTCCGCTCAAGGCCGCACGTGTCACGCAGCGCAAGCCGAGCGTGACCCGGTGCCACGTTGGCGTGCAGCTCGGCGGGCCGAGGTGGACGGTGCCGCGTGCTGCTGCGCTCGGACCAGGCGTTGTACAGCAACGGCTGCTCGGACCAGGCACCACGGCTGCTGCGCTCGTTCGCGCGTACGCCGCCAACATGACGGTCTTCGGGACCGACTTCGCCGCCGCCATGGTGAGGATGGGAAACTTGGGCCCGCCCGCAGGGAACGCCACTGACGCCGCCGAGGTCCGGCTCAACGTACTGCGCCACTCCCCTGCCCGATTCGACTCTCCGGTGAGCACACACACCCGCGCACCCTCCTGACCTCTCAATCGCGTCCACCTGCTTAGCATTGGGGCTTTTCCCCGAGCGCCGCCGCTCGCCGCACCCGAGACGGGCCCCGCTGCCCTGGCAGCCTTCGCCGCCCGGGCTGGCAACGACGAGTGTCGGGCATGCCTGCGGCCCTCCCCATGCACGCGTGTATGCCCCAAGTTCGACGCCATCCTCGCCGGCTGTTTTCCCATGTTCTTCGTGAAAAGGCTTCGAAGAAGATGACTCGAGAAGTGGAGATACAACGGCAACGTTATTGAAGTTAACGGAAGTGGTAGAAACCAATAACTTTGGACCTTTCAGTGCTACATAGCAAAGAAGCAATCTTTTAATGGTACTTTGCTAAACTTGACATCTTTCAATGGTACGTAGCCAATTTTCCCAATCCAGTTTGGGTATGGACTACTTGGGTAAAGAATCGTCAGATAAGAAGTTTTTGAAGCACAAAAGAGGAAGTTTGGATCTTTACATAAAAAACAACAAACAGCAAATCCTAGGCTAGAGATGAAACCCAAAAAGAGGCACCAAAAAAAGAGAGTGTTAATAATAAATGGCTTTGCATGCACCAATTTATTATACAAGTCTCAGTATGGTGGTGGGGTGTTACTCATTTGTTCTTTTATTGTACTTTTGGACATCTTTGTGCTGTTACTTCATCATTTCATGGAACAACTTGCTCTAAAGAACTCCACCTTTGAATTTTACTATGTCACTGAGTAACATTTTAGTAATGTATTGACAGGTTACATTAGCACTGCTATAAGTGATGGTCCAGGATGCTTGATGTTGAGGTGTCCTGATCCGTCCTGTGCTGCTGCTGTTGGACAAGATATGATAAATTCATTGGCTGATGATGAGGATAAGGAAAAGTATGGGCGATATCTTCGCAGATCTTACATTGAAGATAATAGAAAGGTGAATTGATATATCATATAGATTTTAGCACCGACCACAGTAGACAGTACCATGAACAATAAAACGCTATGCAGTTGATAATTAGATTTTCTCAATTCTATAGAGCTCATTTATTTTTTGGAGTAAATAATTGTGAGAACTGCTGTCTTCATCTTCCCCTTTTCTCAAATTAAGGAAGTCAAACATTTTCGATGCATTTTGAATAGTTGACCACTGTGTTCTCTTTTGCTCACAGCAATCGGGTTCTTTGTACTAGGTCAATTCAAAGTCTTAAAATGATGTTGAGTGGTAGATATGATACTGCGTTCGACTACCATATTTAGCCAACATTGAGTTTTGAGTTTGACACTTGACATGTTTTAAATCCATGTTAATTGAATTGGACTGTGTGGAACAGACAAAATGGTGTCCTGCACCTGGATGCGAATATGCAGTGGAATTCGTCATGGGCAGTGGCAGCTATGATGTTAATTGCAACTGTTTATATGGGTTTTGTTGGAATGTGAGTGCTCAAACTGATTAGTTTATTTTTACATAATCAGCAGACCATATATTTTATTCTTTTTTTTCAGTGCACCGAGGAAGCGCATCGTCCAGTAGACTGTGCCACTGTTTCGAAGTGGATCCTCAAGAACAGTGCCGAGTCGGAGAATATGAACTGGTATAGAAGGATAAAGCACAAGATTTTTTAATAATGCTGACTGTTTGGAGTTTCTCCTTTGGATAGTCCTAGAAACACAGTTCAGCCACTATTTGCTAACTCCTTGTCCTTGCACACCTGCTTGCCGCAGGTGTGGCCCCAAAGGAAGGTCATGCAGACAACTCGGCCCCATATAGTTTTGTGCCAGCAGGCCTTTAAATTGCAGACTTTGGATTCTTTTATTATACCTGTTTTTTTTCTTATATTGATTTTTCTGTTTCATGTTCAACATTTAGATGTATGTTGATCCATGAATAAAAAATGTTGCTTAGTTGGTGTTCTTTAACTGGCATAATGATTAGTTCACCATTTATTTAGGGCCTGTTTGGATACAAGGGCTAATTTCTAGCTAGCTAAAAATTAGCTCTAGTGCATCCAAACAGGAGAGCTAATAGATTGGCTAATTTTTTAGCCAAGTCTTCAACTAGCTGTTAGCCAACTAGCTAGCCAACCACATCTAATTTGGGCTAATTTTTAGCCCCAACTAGTATCTAGCCATGTGTATCCAAACTCACCCTTAGTGATGTGAAAAATATGGTTGCATGACCTGAGAAGTATAGTTTCTTTTCTGTCAACCTCAGTTAGTTCAAGTGTGATTAAGGTTTTGTTCGCTCGTGGTCGCTGGTTGTGTTTAAGGTTTTGTTGGTGAGTCCTTTTTGTAACTTCTTTGCCCCTATAGGGGTTGAACGAGTCAGCTAGACTCCTTTCTTCTTAATATAATGATGCGCAAGTTCTCCTGTGTGATCGAGAAGAAAAAAGTGTGATTGAGTTCGTGAGGTCACTGTTGTGGTTGTTTGAGGTCCTGTAAGGTTACTGTACTCAGCTATTGTGGCCTTTCCTCTCTCTTAATGCAATGATGCAAAAATCTCCTGTGTGTTTGAGAAAAAAAATGTCCAATGTTGACTTTGAAACTATTTATTCATGGTTTCAGGATACTGGCTAATTCAAAGCCTTGTCCCAAATGCAAGCGTCCTATTGAAAAAAATCAGGGATGCATGCACATCACATGCACTCCACCATGCAAATTTGAGTTCTGCTGGTAAGCATTCTTACTTTATACAATTTATTCTTATTAGTGCTTGCAAATGAAAAAAATGATAGTTGTGCTATTATACTACAGGCTATGTCTTGGTCCATGGTCAGAGCATGGAGAGAGGACTGGTGGATTTTATGCTTGTAACCGCTATGAGTCAGCAAGGCAAGAAGGAGCGGTAGGAATTCTGAGCTTCCAATCTAATATCTTTTGTCTGACCTGCAAATTTTGTCTGACCTGTTCGGCTAGGCTTATACGATCGTATACGATCGTGGATTATAAGCTGGAACAGTATTTTTCTCTCACACCAAACCAGCCAAACCAGCCAGCAGTAAATAATCCACGATCGTTTACGACGAAACGAACAGGCTGGATTTTCTCAATTTATTTATGTTTTGGTTTGTTATGGCTACAGTATGATGAATCTGAAAGGAGAAGAGAAATGGCAAAGAACTCCCTTGAGAGATATACACATTATTATGAACGATGGGCAGCCAATCAGTCGGTAAGTATTGAATGTGGTAGAAGTGACCTGAAACTTTAAATCTACATTAGCATGGAGTTCAGAGTGACAATTGATGCATGCCAAGCATCCTGTTGGCTGGAATTACTACTGTCCAGGTTTTTTGTCAGATGTTCAATGTTGTTGGTTGAGAAATAAAGAAAATGATGCTAAATAGTTTCCTTACAGAAAAGGCAGCTGAGTTGCACATTTAGATGGTTTTTTTAGATTTTAGTTTGTCTGTCTAAACCCTTTACGATGAAAAAAAGCATGGTGTTGGACTGTTGGTTGATATTGCAGTTTTCATATCGCTACTTTGTGCTAGAACACCTTTTCTAGTTACTTGAACATCTGTTTTGTTCATGGCGCAGTCGAGGCAAAAGGCACTGGGGGACCTTCAAAGCCTACAGAATGACAAGGTATATGATGCTTTCCACTGTTTATCTTCTTTCCTTATTCCCCCATTCACATGAACCTGATAAAACCATATGCATTTTTTTCTTGAAGAAAAATCATATACAATTGGAACGTTAAAAACCTTAATGTTTTTCTTTTCAAACAACCTTACAGTGTAGCTATCTCTTTAACCTATCCAGAACTTATACTAACACCCACTTGTCCATTTCTTTCTTCAGCTTGAAAAGTTAAGTGACATACAGAGTCAACCTGAGTCACAGCTGAAGTTCATTATAGAGGCATGGTTACAGGTATTACTTCATTATTTATTTTTAATTAGCCAAGTTTAGTTTATCACAAGTCTTGTTGCTTTATCTTGACCAGTTTAATGTCAATGTACAGATTGTCGAATGCAGAAGGGTATTGAAGTGGACTTATGCCTATGGATTTTACCTGCCAGAGCATGAGCATGCCAAAAGACAGTTCTTTGAATATCTGCAAGGTTTGCAGTTTTGCTCTCATAAATAAACATGTATAGACTTTGTTTAAGGATGCAAGTGATGGCACCAATGGGTAAAAGTGGGTCTGTTGGTTGGCCCATCTTTATCATGCTCCCCTTGCTTTGAATCAAATGAGTTTTGGGTCAACCCAGTTGCCCAAAAGAAACAGGACTTGCATCCCTACCTATGTACTAAACTGACTTATTCTTGGTGTCTTTTATCTAGGTGAGGCAGAATCAGGTTTGGAGCGGCTACATCAGTGTGCAGAGAAAGAACTTCAAATATACCTTGACGCAGAATGTCCCTCGAAAGACTTTAATGATTTCCGTACAAAGTTGGCTGGATTAACTAGGTACATGTTACTTTTTTCCATGTCATCTATGCTTGCTTCGATGGCATGAACCAAATTACAAAATAACTGCTATGTTGTATCCCTGTGGATTTTACTTTGCTTCCTTTTTGCCGTGAGGACTTCAACCTCTAAGGCTCTAACTTCAAAAAGACGACCTTTTTTTTAATATATATCCATCTGACATCTTCTTTAATTTTACAGTGTGACTCGCAATTATTTTGAAAATCTTGTCCGGGCTCTGGAAACTGGATTAAATGATGTAGGCCCTTCCACTAGCCATGGCACATGCAACAAAAGCGCAACTTCCAAGAGCCTTGGTGGTAAAAGTAAGAGTGGCAAGAACAGGGCATCAAGCACCAGTTCCAAATCTGGCGGCTCAAGCCGAGGTGTGGATGATAGTAATATCTGGACGTGCGATCAGTGCACATATGCAAACCCCAGATCTGCCAGAGCCTGCCAGGCTTGTGATCGCCAGCATCGATAGCGCTGTCAGTCCTTGCTAGAGATTTGGACCCCATTTGTTGAGAATCTTCTGGTTTTGCCCCGTGTGATACACAGCATACATGAAATTGAATGTTAGCTGATCTCTGGGGGTAGTGAGGAGGTACTTGTAGGAGGAATGCTGCGTGCAGGCATGCAAATGAAGTAGGTTTCGTGTATCCTGGATTGTTTGTCGACTGACAGCGCCTGTCAAGCCTCAACTCATCATCCAGTTCGATTTGTATATATAAGTATATCCATATCTGTAACAATGTTTTGTTCAATGGAAATAGAGCTAGGAGGCGTCTGCTGCCAAAGGAACTGAACTGTTGTAATGCTGTTGTAATGTAATAATGCATGGGTCAAATTTAAAGAAAGTTAGTCATCCAGTTACAGAAATTTCAAGAGAACTCTTGATACCTGATTTTGTGGGCATTTGCCATTGTATTGTTGAGCAATCTAGACTAGATCATGGGATTGGGTCGTTGCTTTCCTATTTAGAGCATGTTTGGCACGACTTCCGCAGCAGCTTCGATAGAAGAGCTGGAGGAGTTGCACCAAACACCATATGTACGGAAGAGGAGCTGGAGCTATTTTTTAACAGAAGAGAAACTGTAATTTGTAGCTCCTTCCTCTACCTCTAGAGGAGCACATAGAGGAGCCGTGTAAAATAAGCACTTCACCACAAACATGAATCTTCTGGCTCCTCTCACTGGAACTTGATCAGGCCTATGCGTGGGGTAGTAGTTCGGTGATGACAATGGATGGTTTAACCGGAACTCTGATGGGTATTTTGATCATTTGTCGATCCATAATCTGTTGCAAGTTGTTGAGGGGTTGAAATGTGGTCGGTTAGGCCGATTTCTCTACGCACACTGGCCGGCCACCCTGGCCTCGACAGAACCGACCTGGCTAGTTTGGGACCCATCCAGGCTGGTTTCCCTATGAAGGCATGAAGCCGGCTAGCTGCCTGCGTGGAGCCCGCGAAAATCGGTATGGCTAGTTTGGGACCTGGCCAGACCGGTTTTACTATCCTAGCCCAAATTGATTGGTTTCCAAATCAATTCTGAATCTATTTCTGGCGTGGGAAACTTGGATATTACGATCTAGACTTGTTTACTGTTGAAATAAGACCACCCCTCTATATATATCAGAGGATCACGGCCTATTGAGATATCCAACATCCAATTAACTTTTTTTTACATCTACTACACTTTTTGACCTTTTTTCCCCAGTCTCTTATTATTCGTTGCATCTCTCCGCGGGATCCAGCGACGTTCTAGGTGGCCTTGCCAACCATAGGACAACCAATCGACGAGTCCTCTCGAGAGGCGTTCCCGAGTTCTTACGGCGAAGGACGGGCTTCAAATCGGCCTAACCGATCCCTTGATCCGTCTCACTGGTAAGAGTTGATTGTTACGTGTGATAGGTTGTGTGCGACCTCGGACATGCTAGCCTTTGTTGGTCTGTGACCCTGATTGACGCCAACAGAACATAGAAATACGCTCATCATGCTTTGATAACTATGATTGTATATTGTTTGAATGTTTGATTATACAGTACTGTGCCTTAGCATTGCAAAGTGCAGTTAACTTCGCTATGAAAATTTCCTGGGTTTATTCGTTTTCACGAGAAATCCATAAAATCAGCCGGAAAGTACTTATGCGATGCATTCGATTGATAATGCATGTATTAAGAATGCATTGATTATTTTCTTCCCGTGAAAATAAGTTTTTCTCCTTGAATATGCACAAGCAATCTTGGAGGGACAAACTGTTATGTATATGTGAACGACAAGTTAGGCACTTCTGGGAATCGAAATCGATTTGAATGAAATTCCTTGTTGATTATATTAATAATATAGTGTTAAAAATCCATCATAACGGCCTAAAAAGTCTAGAAATTATCACATCAATAAAACATGAGAGAGAAAAGAATCCACACATTTGATTTTAATGATCATCTAAGAGTCTAATCTAAAATCTAAAAAGCCCACAAATATGGTAAATATGCAACTAAATTAAAATAAAAAATATAGAAATTAAAATTTGGATTTCTATACAGATTGAGAAGCAACATTTATTAAATAGCTAAAGTAAGAAAACTAATGAAAGTAGTATTTTGATTTCTGATCGTACTGGGGAGCAAAGTATGTAAAAACCTACACAAATATAAATGATTATTTTTCAAAATACGAAAATTAGTTAAGGAGAAATATTATTTATTTGCACACTAATTAGAAAACAAAATACCTAAATGTGCAATTAGTCAATAAAAATATAACAAATAAATATCTAAATTTGGAATAAAATAACAAAAAACATGTGTTTTTATTTCTTCTTAGATTGGAAAGTAAAATGTCTACATAAATTTTTTTCCACAGAGGTAGCCGAGTTGAAAATACCAACCTTGAAGTCAACAATACAATTCCAAGCAACATAGACGTGCAAAATATTAATCCTTACGTTAATGTGTTCTAAATTTATGTAACTTTGCATATATTGATCATCTCAGTTTAAAAAGTTTGATGGATCGAATTCTAAAATGATCATGTAGAATCGGGTGGACTATTTCAAAAGCCATATATTTAATGGTCCTCTGTATATCAATATAAGACATTTCAAAACAAGAAATCAAACATGAAATGACCATTTTTTTCCAATTGCTACAAATTCAATACCATCTTAATAGTAGTTTGACTTATTAATCAATTGGTATACAACTTTTGCATACTCACCATGTAGATAATTTCATTAATTACTAATCAAAACTAGTTTGACATTTTTAAACAAAATGCACTTTACAGTGATGGACGAGTGATTACATCATAAGATAAGAAAATTTTGAAGCCCGTGGTCGAGTATTGTAATTGTGTATGAAGGGAAAACAAGATGTTTTCATGTGTAATTATTGGCGAAACAAGGGGAAGCTTGGAAACAATTGGAATAACCTAAAATTGTATTTATTTTAATTTATAGTTTTTTATTATTTTTGTTTCTGTTTTTGCGGTTACCATTTCATTTCTGTTTTACCTACAATATGAAAAGAACTCGAAAATGAGCCGAGAATTATTTCAACTTTCATTGTATACCTTTAATTACCTTTTAGGCCCCTTTGGTTCATAAGTTTTCCAAAGAAAAAAAAATGTAGGAACTGACAATCATGTAGAATGAGCACTGTAGAGGCCTTTGATTTGATTCACGGGCACTGGCGGAGCTTAGTGAGAGCCATAGTGGGCCATGGCCCCTCCTAAGCTAGATCGATTTTAATTTAAGATCTTAGCTTTACTACTTTAGTTGCTAATAACGAAACATTAATCACCATGTTCGTTTGAACTTATTCAGCAATATTTTTCAGCGATACAACAGTGTTTTCCTCTCACAATAAATCAGCAGCATCAGCAACAGCCGAAAATCAGCCAGCCAAATAAGGTTGTGTTTTCCTCCTTTGTCTTGCATTCTACATCATATTGGCCCCTCTATTCATGGCCAAGCTCTCCGCCACTGTTCACAGGAAATGATGGAAGGAAAAGCCTAAGAAATTTTTCTATCATTCAACTTTCGTAGGAAAACGAAGAAAAAAAACATTAGTAGAACCTCGTTGTTTTGGTTTCCTATGTTTGTGGTGACTTCATTAACCTTAAGATCTGTCGGTGCAGTTTTTCGGAGGTGTTCGTAGGGGTAGAATTTTTATGCGTACATTTATAGAGGTGAGTGTGTGTGCATGTTGTGAGCATTTGTCTGTACTATGTAATTCATAAAATTTCTCTGTTTTTTACCTGTATTCCTGTATTTTTCCTATTATTTTTTATCCTGTATTTATAAAGGGGGTCTACGTAAAAATCCAGTCAACAGTACTGCAGGAGACATAAGGTGCATCAGTTTTCCAAATCAAAAGTATCCATAAATTTTTGCCCTGTTCAGCTGATAAGCCATGACTAAAAGTAGGATTGACTGATTTTCATTGACTGAAAAAGTACTGTTTATAAGTCAATCGTGACGTTTGTATCATGTATTTGGATAGTAATTGCGTAATGCCTCTGAAAGACGATATGCCTATTTTAAGGATGCATTGATTGATTTGTTGTCAGCAAATCAATCAGATCCCTCATTTGGCCTCCGCCCCATCAAAACTTGCCGCGATTAGGCTGGCAAGGTTTGGTTCCTCGTGATTATAACATCAAACATTTCCAATTCCAAGCTTATAAGTTTCCAATCGATGGCAGTTGATAGCTACCAGGTGCCGGCTCTATATATGCGCAGTTGCCCACGTTAGGAAGCCAGGTGCCGTCGTTCCTCTAGTTTGTCGCCATGGCCACGCCGATCGCACCGATGGCCGTGATGATGGCGATGCTGGTGATGGTCGCGGCGTCCACTGCGCAGGACGGCCATCACGCACCTGACCCTCACCACCACCACCACCATGCCGCGGCGCCGGGTCCTCATAACTGCCTGGCACCGGCGCCAGGTCTTCATCACGGACATCACCGCCATCACCCTCACCCCCCTCACGCCCCGGCGCCCGTTCCTATTCATGGGAGCCAGCCGACCGGAGCTCCTAGTCCCGACAACCATGGCGGGCTCAACTCTCCAGCACCGGCACCAGTTGATGTCGACCATCTGGGCAACGCTCCGGTGCCTGGCAACCAGTCTGCCAGCGCGCCGAGCCCGTACACCAATGGCGTCCACGACGCTCCGGCTCCGGCTCCTGCAAGCCAGGAGGTGCTTTGCGCTCCGACTCCGTACCAACATGGCGGCCACGACGACGCTCCAGCGCCAACGCCAACTCCAGTTCACGGCAACCAGCCGGCCAGCGCTCCTAGTCCGTACCACCATGGCCAACACAACTCTCCAGCGCCGGCGCCGGTTCATGACAACCAACCGGCCAGCGCTCCTAGTCCGTACCACCATGGCGAACACAACTCTCCAGCGCCGGAGCCGGTTCATGACAACCAACCGGCCAGCGCACCGGCTCTAGACAACCAAGGCGGCAACAACGCTCCAGCGCCGGCGCCGGTCCATGCCGAACAGCCGGCCATAGCTCCAAGCCCGCTTCTCCAAGGACACGACGCTCCGACTCCGTCTCCGGCGACAGTTGCCCCAGCGCCGCACCGCGACCACGCTCCGTCGCAAGGGAAGCCACCAGCCCACGCCCCGGCTCACGTTGGTGAAGAGCCCCCCCAGCCGAGTGGTTTCGCGCAACCCCCGGCTTCTGATCCGCGCTACTACTACCCCTCGTCCGCCCCCGCGCCGTCTCCAGAAAGCTCTGCTGCTCCTGTCGCCGTCGCTGGTCGATCATCGACGCTGCTCGCCGGCGTGGTTGGCGTGTTCTTGTGCGCATCCGTGCTTGTTCTATAGAATATGTCAGCAATGTGACAATAAGTTTGTATGCATTGCATTAGTGCCATTCGATTGTTTTGTTCCTAGGAAATAATTTTTGCATCTTCAATATGCACACCTATCTTGAAAGAATATGAAAGACATTGTTTGTGTATGTACGCACAGCTGAATTAGACCCATTTAGGCCCTCATTTTCCGAATCGAAGATATTTTTTTTCGTCTTGAACAAAGCTTATACTCCCTCAAACCCCAAATATAACCCCTACTCTATATGATTCATTGATTCTGCACTAATCTTATTTGGATTAAGTCCACTTTTGGCCCCTCAACTATCATATTGGTCTAATTTTGATCCTCAACTACAAAACCGTCTAATGTTAGTACCACAACTGTCAAAACCGTTCTCTTTTAGCACCTGGGCACGGGTAAAGCTGTTTTGTCCAACGTGGAGCGGATTTGTCCAATGTGGGGCCCATGCGTCATCGACTCAACCGAACTGCACCGACGTAGTAGCAGCCGAGGTTGATGTAGGCGACCAGCGCCTGCCAGCCGCCGCCGATGGCCACCCTGGAGATCACCAGCTGCACGCTGTTGAGCACCATGGTCGCCACCAGCAGGTGCGCCACCTTCCCCACAGCCGCCTGCATGTCCCGGCCGCCTGTGAAGAGCACCACGAAGCTGTTGCGGTACGCCAGCACCAGCGCCATGGCCACCAGCCCCATGGCCAGCGACTGCGCCACCACCGCCGCCACCGCGTGCTTGACGGCGCACCGCTGCGCGTAGACGCCTAGAAGGTCCAGCTGCCCCGCGCGCGTATGCCTGCCCGCACAGCGTCTCCAGCGCGCTGCCTATCCCGAGGAGGAAGCCGAAGGAGAAGGTGGAAACGACAGAGAGGCCCAATCTCCCACTGGCGCGCCGCCGCCGCCTCCCCGCGCGGCCGCGCCCTGCTGGACCCGCGCTTCCACCCGCGCCGCTGGATGCTCTTCCCGAAGGGTGAGGGAGAGGTGAAGCGGCTGAAGAAGCCGTCGAGGGAGAGCGCGTCCGCGACGTCGTCCTCCTCCTCGGGTGCTCCTACGCCGCCGGCAATGGATCCGGCGGGGGTGGTGAGGAAGGACGGGGAGCGGAGCGCAGTGGAGGTGGTCGGCGTCGGTGTGGGGACGGGCCCCGTCCCATGGCACTGGACGTGCGCGGCGGCGGCGGTCCAGGATCTTGAGCTGCGCATCGCGGAGGATGAGCGGGGCGCGGGACCGCACAGCCTAGAGTGGAGTCGCTGCCGGAGTCCCCTCCGCACCGGGGCCGAGGAGCACCGCCGCGCTAGCCTCTGCCCACCGGGGATTGCCGCCGCCAGACACACGCTCGACTCGCCGGATCCGCTTTCGCCTGTTCAACTCGCACCGACGCCAAGCACCGCCAGAGCCAAAGCCATCAGCGCCACCGCCCTGCGCCTCCCCCTCGCCAATGCATAGCCGCTGATCATCTCCTTCCCTCCGCTCTCCATCTCTCTTTCTCTTCCCTTCTCTCCCGTTCTCTCCCTCTTGCTTGCGTTCGCGCAGGCGAGGAGCCGAGGATGCGCCCTACTGCCGCCACCAGCACCATCGACAGGCGCTCTCTCTCCGCCTTGCCCTACTCACTCTCACTCCCTCTCCCTTTCCCTCTCTCCCTCTCTCTCGCTCCTCTGAGTTTCTTCCTCGTCGAGCACCTCCGGTCGGCGGCGCTTCGAAGAGGCGGTGGAGGGGGTCGGGGAGGCGGGGCGAGGGGTGGAGGGCGCGGGTGTCGGCGATGGCGAGAGGCGGCGCCCACGAAGATGATGACGGCCGGCGCGCCGATGGAGAGCCTGCGCTCGGGGAGTGGGCCACAGTGGCCGGCAGAGGAGGTGCGGCCTGCGCGCGAAGAGTCCGGCGGAGGCGGCGCTCTGCGGCGTAAATCGGCTATGAGCGCGGCTATCCCTTCGTGCGTGCGTCCTACGTGGTGGTCAAAGCCAGCGTTGCGGGTCAAAACTAGGTACACGTCGGCATGAAACAGCCACAACCGTGTCTAGATGGCAAGAGTGGACGGTTTTCAAACTTGAGGTTCCTGAACCAGACGGTTTTGTAGTTGAGGGTCAAAATTAGACCAACATGATAATTGAGGGGTAAAAGTGGACTTAATCTATCTTATTTCTCATGACTCGTGGCGACCCTTCACAACAATCTAGGAAATGTGTGAGTAGCTCGATCTTGATCACGGTGAAGCCTACTGTAACTATGTGAGTGCCTACTTATTCTTGGGCTGGCATGGCACAACACAAGAGTTTAAATATAAAAGACTAAAATGGTCATTTGGATAGTTGAGACCTGAGAGTGAATTTAGGGCCTGTTTGGCTTGCTTTCCTTATGTTGTGCGGCACGCAAAAGTTTAGTGAACAAATCATGCACCAAAGATTTGGCAGAAGATGCTGCAGAAATTTGAAGAGAGAATTATGGCAAGCCAAAGGTGCAACGAGTGCGAGTTGTGATAGCAATCCAAACGGAAGACCAAATTTCTGTGGCAAGTTTCAGCAAGTCAAGGTAGCAATCCAAACACTCTTATACCTCGTGCAAAGATGAAAAACTGAAATATTAATATAAATAAAACTATAAAAAGATCGTTCTTTCTAACAACTCATACTTTGTGACTGTAAAAATAGAATTGTATAAAGACACGTCAAACTTGAATAAAAGTAAACTCATGCACGGGTTTCGAATAAAACTATAAAAAGATTGTTCTCTTTGGCTGTGTTCGGCTCGCTGGTGCTGGCCACCCCACTCATGTGGGCACTGTTCACATGAACAGTGTCATTCAGTTAAAACAATATTTTTTTCTTACAACAACCTAGCTGGAACAATATTTTGGTTTATTCAACCAGCTTGTCGAACAAACCCAAAGAAAAGCACACAAAGAATAAAAATAAAAATTAAAAAACTTGCTTTGAATGGGAATCGAATAAGGCCTTGGTTAGTTCCAGGACGTAAAGTTTTGAGGTGTCACATGGGGGTATCGCATGAGGTGTTCTGATACTAATAAAAAAACAAATTACAGAATCCGTCAGTAAACCGCGATACAAATTTATTAAACCTAATTAATCCGTCATTAGCACATGTGTTACTGTAGCACTTTATTGTCAAATCATGGACTAATTAGGCTTAAAAGATTCGTCTCGTAAAGTAGTCGCAATCTATGTAATTGGTTATTTTTTTAGTTTATATTTAATACTCCATACACGTCTCCAAACGTTTAATGGGATATGGCGTAAATTTTTGGAATGCAACTAAACAAGTTCCAAAAATAAAAATCTTGCACTGAGCATGGTTCTAGTACTGGCGCAACTAACCATTCCAACCATCGATCTTCTTTGCATAACCCTAGAAAGTATGTTTAATAAAGTACTTTATTGGTTTTACCATACCTATTTAAGTCCTCGGTAAGGTAAAAGTGATCTAGGTCTCCCGCGCCGCCGCCGACGCCTCCGCTGCTGCCACCTCCGCTTTCTGTGCGGAGGACTCCTCGCCGGAGAATTGCCGGCGGCGGCTCGAGACGACACTTCGGTAATCGTCTCCCGCCACCCGCCGCCCACTGCCCAGCAACCCTACTCTAATCCGCACAGCAGCTGCGCATCAAGTGATGGCGAAGCCGGAGGAGAAGCTGCGCTGCACGAAGGAGCCCTTCATCGAGGACGTCGGCACCCGGAGGATGTAAGCATGCGGCTCCCGTCCTGTTTAATGAATCATAATCCGGCGATTACACTTACTCTGCCGCTTCCCTGTTACGGTTTGTTGCTTTTGATTTCAGAAAGAGCATCCGGTTCAGCGTGCTCTCGGGCAGCGAGATTCGCAAGTCCGCGGAGGTGCAGGTATGGAACAACCGGATCTATGGGCACGACATGAAGCCGGTGCCCAATGGATTGCTCGACCCGCGAATGGTAATGCCCCGCTCGGAATTGCTGTTTTCTCGTGTGTATTTTCATTGATGGTTTGAAGTTGGTAGTTCTAACATAGGCGTGCCTTTGTGGCATCATTCAAGTTGTTGCAACTTATTTCCCCGTGTCAAATTTCAGGGAATCCCGAATAAGAGAGAGAAATGCAGTACCTGCCATGGTGAATTTAGTGACTGTCCTGGTCATTTCGGCTACTTGAAGCTTGCGCTTCCAGTTTTTAATGTAGGCTTCTTTAACTGTATTCTGGACGTGCTGAAGTGCATCTGCAAGGTACTGCCATTAAGAAGTTTACATCATGGGTGTGCTGAACACTTGAACTCTGTCTTTATAATTATTCTTGTTCTCTCGTGCCTTTCCAGAGCTGTAGCAGAGTTCTTCTTATGGAGAAAGACCGCAGGGAGTTTCTGAAGAAGATGAGAAATCCCAGGGCAGATGCACTACAGAAAAGTGCTACAATGAAAAAAGTGAGGGACAAATGCAAACTATCCTGCTGCCCCCGCTGTGATTACAGAAATGGTTAGCTATCATATATTGTCCATAATAATTTTACCTTAGGAATGTCACTACTGAAACCTGGCTATTGTTTGTAAGTTAACATTTGCAAGAAATCTCTCTAACTCTTTCCTGTTTTTTGTTGTAAATACAGGTGTAGTTAAAAAAGGCAGAGCAGGCTTGATAGTGGTTCATGACTGTAGCAAGGTTTTGGACGGACATACAGAAGAACTGAAGAATGCATTGCAACACAAGAAAGAAAAGGTCTCCGCTAATTCAGTTCGTGTGTTAGACCCTGCAACTGTTCTCTCTCTATTCAGAAGAATGACTGACGAGGTTCGTGCCAATTTTCATCCTTCAAGAGTCTTACGTGAAGAGGGTACCTTAATGTATGGGATATAGTGTTATTTGATGTGTTCTGCTACCCTCTCTTTTAGTGCTCAATAACACTAGGACAGTCCAGTGATCTGGAGAAAACATTAAACCTATCTAACTAGTTGCCCCAAGCCACATTGGTTGCCTCACATTGGATGCTATTTTCCAATTTGAACTCATTGCAGTTTTGTTGACAAAA